CAGCTTGATATATTAGTATAGATTTTATTTCCTACAATATTCTAACATTACAGACTAGCCTAATACCTCGCTAGAACATATCTTTATCTTATCTTCATCTTATGCGTATTACTAATTACAGAATTCTATAATTCGAAATATAACAGACAATGCATTTTTAATCTTATCATTAGACGATTTTCAATTAGATTATGTATTTAATTTGAATATCGCTAAACTTATGGAAATTGTTGCTAGGTTAGATAAAACTAAACATCTTTAGCTATTGAAATAAAATTACATTTTCTCATTGCCATATTGTGTTATTCGAACGTTTAAGACTCCACGTACAAACCTAATTTATGCGTGTGTCTGGTCTTTGTATCGGTTTTATATGTTGTTTACAATTTTTTACACCGCAATACCAGAATTACCCAATAGTATTCTAAATTCGAGCATGTGTGGCTCAGTGGTCGATAGCATTGCATTAAGCGCGAGAGAGCCCTCGTTCGAATCCCGGAAACAAAATAATTAGTCCGTCAGTCAGTACACGGAAGTCTGATGAATTTACAATTTTCATGATAGATGAGGACAGACAAGCATGAGGTTTATTACCTCAGCCATGTAACATCTACACAGGATGTGTCGTCGACCTATTTTGGCTTTGGATGTTCTAAACAACAGCGATCAGAAAACAGGTAGAAATATGCTCTATACATACAAAGAAGGAGATTTCGTTCACCGTTCCATATTCAAAATTTAAAAATACAATTCGATTAGTAAAGTATTCGTAAAGGCCAAAGTGTCGACGTGACGGCACCGCATTGCGGCTATGTTTCTCCTGTGTACATATATATACATAAATATACGTATACACATATCGCCAGAGCTTACAAATACATAGTCACATGCCACTCATAAATAGTACGTATTTATAAATGGCACTCATACTGAAAACATTTGCAGTTTAATAACCGAGACAACTTGATGATTCGTAAGTTATTAATACTTGGGTGTACCAGCTTTGGTATTCGTTACTTGTACGGGCCGTGGGTTTGATGTCTATTACTAGATATAAGATGCTTGTAGGGTAGATTTTACTTGTAGGGTAGATTGTTAATTAAGTGTCTCTTATTAATAGATATATATTTTGAAAGATGAACAATAAATAACAATTGGAAACCCATCGTTTGTAATCATCACACATTGGATAACAAAACACTTTTAACGGTTTAAAAGTAACAATTTATTAAGATAGCGGGAAATTTTAGCCTTAGGCATTATACTAAGTACCTACTTATATATACATATTTGTTATGTGTACTTTTAACGGTGTAAAACACTCTTTATAGTACTACTTGTCGGGTCATGATAAAATATACATATCGCGTTTTAAACCGTTAAACGCAAAAACTATAAATTTAATTGATCGATAAACACACAATATCGGATCAGCTCTAATGGCGCGTTCGTAAATGTTTAAAGGCTTGCAATTATAATCTTACGAGTTCTGAATGCGGTTTAGTCGAAGCGAGCGATTGAGTTGAGGTGTCAGACGGATGCGCGTGATTATAATTAGGATTGTATTTCTGATTCCGACGAAGCACGGTATGGCGAGTAACGATGAATTCCGTCTGAGTCATTGTGCTCGTTCCGTAGCCTTTATTTTCGTAAAACACTTAACCCTTTTACGCTCATCATTGTTTCATTTGCGTCTCATCTTCCGTATATAAGTTACGGAAGCATAAATCTTTTCACCGCTCGCGTTGGCGTTCCTGCTGTTGCCTTGCGCAGGAGTTGGATACGAAAATAAACAGAATTTATCCTATTAGCAGGGCTGGTATTCAATGCAGTAGTATTATTTAGGTATATAATATATTCAATAATATAATATCGACGTCGTTAAGTTCGTTACGATGAAATTAAAATGTATTTTAGAGAAAGGATAAATAGAATAGCTGGGAACAGTAGCTAGTAACTCCTGTGTCTCTTGAATGTGCTTATTTCTTTAAAAAAATCAAACTGTCTGTACTTTACGCTAGTTTAACTAAAACATTTTTACCGGCTTCAAAGGCGAAATGTATTATTATCGATATTAACCACGGCCCGACGTTTTGGATGCTTTTCAGCAGCATGAAATTCTAGATAAGTTATTCTAATACATTTCGAGTTTTAAACCGTTTTGTTTAATCGTAAGATCCTTATTAAGTAACTCTCGCCGATTATCGTCGCCGAGTATGAAATGCGGTCCCCGTCCGCCCCCACTCGCGGCGCAATTGCGAAAAAATACAAATAATTCGCTGTAATGTAGTGTAATGGAAACGCGGCAGTTGCCACGCGCGGTTGGCGACATATTTCCCGAACGAAGCGCAGAACTGGTTTGCGAGGAGGCGGACGAACGGCGCTGACATGCTCGCTTACCACATTGCATTAATGCAACTTAATTTCTCATAACCTCATGAACGCATTTTATGATAAAGGAGGATGGACCAACATGGGGCTTACTGAATAACAGTTTCAGGTCAACAAAGGATATCTGATATGAGCTGAGTGAGATCGTAATCTACCAAGCAGCACACAACACGATTTTTACACGATACATGTTAAGATTACATTATGTGTTATTTTTTATATTGAGTAATGAGTCTTATATATTTATTGTGGCTCTTGGTACTTCTAGGCACTTCGTGTAAGCATTTTCACGAACGAAATGTGATGTGATTTAGTCTAATCTATACTAATATTATAAATGCGAAAGTAACGCTGTCTGTCTGTCTGTCTATCTGGCTATAACTCCAAAACTACTGAACTGATTTAAATGAAATGGTACACAGCTATTTTAGAGCCTGAGAAAGGACATAGGCTACTTTTTAATTGTCAAAAAAGGGCTGATAGTGGTTGAAAAAGGGGATGAAAGTTTATATGGAAATTCGTGGTTGTTGAAGCTAGAACAATGAAACTACAGAAACAAAAAAACAACAGAATAATCTGTTGGTTTTTGGGAATAGGAGTGTGAGTGGGAGTTAGAGTAGGAGTGATGTGAGGTGAGATTGTTGCCGCAAAGTAGCACTTACAACATAGATTGGCTGCCTTAAATGCGCCCTTACATGAATTAATAAACAGCCTAAATAATTAAAGATTTCTACCCAAGTCTCAATTCCACGCGGACGAAGTCGCGGGCACAGCGAGTTATTAATATAATAGGTAAAGTTTATATACAGAAATGGTGAAGGTGAATACGTGAGTAAATGTATAAATAGTTTATATGCAACTACGTGCACTAATACAAGAGAATATGCCCACTAAACGGAGTAGCTACAGTACTAAATAAATTCATTTTTTTCAAATACCCCAGCCATATAACTAAACAAGATCTGTTGTCGACCTATTGATTATTACGTTACCGAAACGCGGTTAAACATCATGGTTTTTCATTAATAGACTATCTTGACCTTATTTCGATATTCCTACTATCCATTCAAAATTTTGACTTCCAGACAAAGTCCAACATGTTTCTAAAAAAAATAATAAATTGATTAAAATAATGGTGAACCCGGTGCGGATTGAACCCAAGACATTACACCAACGAGCCTGTCAAACCATCGAGAGATCATACAAAATTACCAATCCATCAATTAACATCGTACATCGATAAATGTTTATTCAAATTGAGAACGAATTATTTCGTTATACAATCCGCTAAATATCGTTACGCAATTCAAAAAACGAATAACCATCATTTATTCCATAGTGTTCTATAGAATTACGTAAAAGCACTTAAGTACTTATAATAATCAGTTCCTGTTTGTGTATTCTACTATATTATGACATTGTATTCATGGCCGTAATAATTGTTAACTTAGATACAGATATACATTAAGTATTGTTATATGTTAAGGGTAAATCAAAAAGATGGGAGGATGATCTACCGAACGCATGGAGGAGAAAAAAGTGAAAGAGAAATTAAGGACTAGGACCAAACTTAAAAAAACAAAAAAAATACATGTGTACATACATACACAATCATTTAAATGAACTACGATACGTAATTAACTTTTAAAAGCTATATTTTTTCGTCGTTAACAAGGTTTCAGGTCTAAAAAGGCGTTAACACAAAAAATTGAAGATACAAACGGCTCATTACCTCTATACCGGTAGGCATTAATAGGAACAAAGAATATTTTGTGGTGCTACACATAACAAAATACTGCGTAATTAGTTTTCGAGTTTCAAGTGTAACAGTCGGAATGTTCGCTGTTGTGTGTGTAAGAACGTGCTATCAAGTTAATATTTCATTATCTGATACGATTCCACGTCACAACACTATCAGCCGCGATAAGATTTCAGCATAGCAAGAGGAAGTTGTACTAAACACGTTTTAATCGTCGCTGATGTTATAAACACTTTCAACAGATGCCCGTTCTATACAAAATGAAATATTCAAGGTAATGTATTCATCTCAATTTAAATACTTACCTACTTTTATTAACTGCCTATTTGGTTCAATAGCTAAACGAATAGACTGGCAAGAGAATTTGGCTTCGATCCTCCACGAAAAATATAAACAAGCTGGAAGATACTATAGTACAACTAAGCTAGTAAAAACATCGTCTAGCGAAAGAGACGCAAAGATATGTCTGCAAATGCTTCGTCTGATGAATCATGGAATAGCATTTTTAAATGGTTTAATATAATATTATACATTGAAGTATTATTAATTATCTCAATTAAGACAATTGAGGTGTTAATTTGTAAAACACCTGTGTATACCTTTGGATATATGTACGTGGATAGCCAGTTGTGTAAATTGAGCGAAATCACTTCATTCAAGGTCAAACAATGTTAAGAGATAATTATTTTATCTTCTAGTTCGCTAGTTCTATATTTCGGATGTGTGTTGTAACTATCAAAGAAAAAAAGATAATTTAAAATAGTTGATCAACAAACGATTAGATAAATATTACTCGTTGATAATTCGAATAAAGAAATCAGTATTTTAATTTTTAAAAGGTTTTTTATGAATGACATGGAAGGCGGGGATATCGAAACGCGGACAACGCGCGAAACACAAGTGCGCTCGCGCCGCTTTCCCGACTTTCCAGCCGGTGACGTTCACGCCCCCACTGCCGCACAAAAATATTTACGTTTGTTGCCGTAAACGCACTACAAAGGTCGCTACCAATCAATTAGGTCATCACCGATCAATATTTAATAAATTATTTCCCCCCAAAAATCATTATGGTTATTTAACATTGACACAACTCGGTCATTGATAGAGACCATTATTTGTGCAGATAACGAATGTACAAATAACAATAAGTCAATAAGATTGTGCTAAATGTATGCAACTGAGACGCAAGGACATCGCAGGACGAGTCGGCTGTCCTCTGTCGTCATGCGCAGGTAGCGGACAGAGGACGAATACGACAATATGACCATTGTTTATCGCTGTTAATTATTATGCCCCAGCGTTGACGGACGCTCACCGAATTCCGAATCACGACAGCGATTCGCAGTTCGCACCACGTAAAAAAGGTCGCTCATTTACTACCTGAGATCCGTCATAAGTGTTTTTATTCGATAATTTATAAAGATTTACGTCTGAAATGTGTAGTGCAAAATTCGTCGTATCATGATACATTCATTAGAACAATTAATGAGTAATGTTCCAGTGCATTGCGACTATCATACTCGCTGTATCGCGCTCGATTGAGGAGTGAGGACCGTTACGTGAAATAAAATGTCGAGACTGAAGAGCGCGGGGTGGAGCGTGGAGCCGACGTGACGACGACGTCGTCCGAGCGGGGCCGACGGTACAGTGCGGATACGACAACACCAGCGGGGGACGAGGTGGTGCGCCACTTTATCGCGGCGAGCCGGCAACACCGCGCGGGGTGGGTTCCCCTCGCGGCGTAACCTCTCACTCACCGTCGCCGGTTTGCCAACCAGTGTTACCTTTGACGGTCGGACGTGTGGTTGTCTGATGCCAGTGACGTCGACGACGACGCTCGTGCAACACGTCTATAATGTTTCGTAGAACTCAGTCGGATTCGTGAGTGAATGATAATAATTAATTTATTATCAACTGTACATGGAACACAGTGACAAATATTGACCTTACCTTGGATTTGGATTTTCTAATCAACTGTGCAGTGACGATATAAATATTTAAACAAACAGTGCAGTGCACCGAAGGATTGCTAGTGACATAACGTTTTTGGATTATCAGAAAAATTGTGATCGTTGTAAAAATTGCAAAACAATAGTGGATATCGTTGAAGGTGTGTTTTAAAAATTTGAAATAATAAAACGCGAATATAAAATCAGATAACTGATTTAAGTGATTTCGCGGCCAATTAAACGCGGCGATACGAATCGTTAAAAATGCCAAAGGGCAAAAAAAAAAACAATAAAAATAAATTCTTTTTCATTAAGTGAGATATTTAAAAATTCTAAATTATATCTTAGATAATTGTATTCTCCATAATTCTTCAATAAAAAAAATCGAGAAAAGAAATAATCAGAGAGTTAAACGCTTCGTATGTTTGTTGACGTTGCAAATGTTTGAGAGAAAACGCGAAGCACTCACAACAAATAATACCTAGTGCCTGAAATAAATTAGAGAAGGTGGAAAATTGTGATTTTTTCTGCTTGAAAATAAGGAGGTACATAGAACTCCATCGTGTTTCAGGAGGTGTTTTGAAACGGCAGGACGGCGAATTCTGCTAATACGGCTGCATACGCAGGACACAAAATTAGTTATCCGGGAGCTGTGGCTCCCGATAGTGGAAAACAGAATTATTATCAAGAAACCATAGGATACAGAGTAAACACGCAAAGGTAAGTACGGTGAACAAGTTTTCAATAATACTTTAGTCCTAGAACAATCAATAAATTACTTAAAAACTCTACAGCGATTTAAATATAAAAAAAGTTATAATTATAAACCATTTTTGTTTACAATATCTTTTAAGGCAAAGTGCTAAATAGTATATTTTGATAAGACGTTATAAAATATACCAAATTTTATTTTCATATCGTTATTAATTATATAAAATTATTAATATGATGTTATCCATTTAATATTTTAAGATCGATTCGGTAAAAATCGTGTATTTGCTCATAAACCTATTATTGTGATTTATAACGCCCTCAAGTTGTTTTCATAGCTGAACAATGCTTTATATAATACAAACTGAAGTGTTGAAGCCTTATCAGTTATCACGTTATCACTAGAGAAACTCAAATAAAATTACACAGTTCTAAATTGAAACGAGCATAAGCGATTATTGTGAAAAGCATGTCCTAAACGCCATTGTTATTTATCTTAATAACGCCTCCGATGAGCTACGGCGTGCAACACTGCAATATTATAATTAAAGAAACGAAATGCTCTTCCATTCACACGCACAAACGCTTTCGGCGCCCTCCACGCACACTAGCGTCGCGGCACTCACACAGGCGAACGTTACCCACACATCGAAGGCCGCGCACACAACCGAACGCTGGGAATGCAGCGGTGACTGCACTTCAGCTTACAATAAATACAAATAAACAAAACCCTAACTGACTATTTAACAATCGAATCTGGAACGTTGTTAATTACCTACGATGAATCTGATTTTTATTTGTTTAAATTTAAATTTCGATTTGAGAACGATTTCGCTCGAGTCAAAGGTTGTCCGTAAAAAGTAAAGCAGGTGCTAACGGGGCGCTGCTGCTGCTAACTGCTTTGTTTTGCAGTCACCTTTACAAACATCATTGTTGAGTTCTATACAAAACCGATAAGTTAATAATACTTGTATGGGGCTTCCGGTGAGTCTATGAATGAAACGCGACAAATCTTCGAATAGTGGCGAACTGGCGAAGTAAAGATATCTCGTTATAATGTAAGCTAGCGAGGCTTAAATATTGTAATAAAAGAATCTTATTATGAATGATTATCGAACCGTGGGAAAAAATGTCAGTATTTAACGGGCGAGACGGTAGGGGGCGGATACTCGGTTACAACAAACTGCATGAACCCACGTGCCTAATATTTTAACAGATGCTTTCCTTCCACATCCAAAACTTAATCTTTATTAACTGCGTGAAAGATTTATTTGATTTTAAATTGTTCATTAAATTCAATAAAATATTGTGCGTCTATAAATTACCGTAAAATTTGTCAATAGACAAAATTTACGCAAATATATAAAAGGGGGCGTTTAAAATATTTTTCACGTAATTTTTACACTTGTTTTTAGGTATAATTCAATTTAGGCTTAAAATTAATAAATTTTTGATATAATGCTCAGCTTTAAAGTTTCATATTGACGTGAATCATTTACCCTATAGCGTCTGTGTAGCGACCCTTCCAGCTCATTGTGTCGCATTCACCCCAGAACAGTCGCCTCTGTTACCCCCGGAATTTGCTCCTTGAAGCATGATTCATTCTCATGGCGTCAATTGACGGGGATGAGATAAAATCTTAGTAAATTAATAAATGCCCAACCCAGTCCAAAACATAACTTATTAACAGTTAAATAATGACGTCAAGGGAACATCAGAAATTGATGACATCTATTCTATCTAAATAAAACATTTAAACTGTTTAAAACACGATATATGTTAGTTAAACTTATTTGAAAATTATTTTAACTACTATTAATTATATGTATCGCGTTTGGAACCGTTAAAGTGTTTTATTTAAATAGTATGTATTTAAATCCTTACGTTATAAAGAATAAGAATTTAAAAGTTTCGAACTCGTAACAATAACTGTCGTTAAATTGATAAACTGTGACGTCATAGCAATCGATCGAACGCTATCAAATGGTAATGTGTTAGCAAGCGTACGCTGCACAATTCACAAGCCACAATTTGAAGCATTAAAAACGGGGGTGACCAACTGCCATGGAGAGTCGCACTTGGGGAGAATTGAAACCTGCATAGTCTAAATGAGCGTATATAAACATATGCGTGGCATCTTATTTTGAAAATTTAAGGACGTGTAATATATTATGTCAATTATCTTAGTGATAGCCCGTAATACGTCGGGCACGGCGCATTAATGACAAGAAAGTAATTAAAAAAAAACACATTTAATGGTTTAAAACTCGAAATTTATTAGTTAAACTTGTTTACAAATTATGCTGTAAAGTACAAAATACAATAATTGTTGAATGAGTTTAACATGTTTTATTTAAATGTGCGATACTCGCGTATACTACAGACAGCAGCAAGTAATTCATCAAACGTTTGTGTCTTCTCCGACCGAAAATAACGTATTGTGTCGATACTCGTAGAGGTATAGGGAGACTGCGAAGCATTTAACAAGCGACTATGTTCACGTCACCTAAACATGTTTCCAGTATTAATTAGAATAACGACCGCGATAACAATCTGATTAAGTATTTCTAAGTGAAAAACGTAATGTAAATAATTTTCATTTTGAAATCGATTCCGCACGTGATTATCATCACTGCCAATTAGCAAAAGAATCTGCGTCCGCGCAACAATCTAAATTTAACTGCAGCCTATGTATCAAAATATCGCAACACGCTACTCCCATCTCTCACTACTATGCCAAACACCTTCCAGCTTCTCGAAATAGCGATTTAATCATTGATTTGTATCGTCTCAACTCGCGAACGTTATTCAATATCCTTTCTATACTTTAAAATTGTACTTACGGGATAAGGAAAACGTACACGGATCGGAACATATGCACCGATTCTCGGAATCGCTCGAAAGGGATTCTTCCGTCGACCACTTGCATTCAAAGCTCCAAATATTTTGAAATAACGTAAGTGAACGTGGCGGGTAGCACTCAACAAAAACGGCAGGATACACAATTGTTTTTTTTTCTAACATGCATTGGTCGGCAGTAAAAAAGGCGATAACACAAAGACGGACAGCGATTAGATACCTACCTAAGGAAGGGTCCTTGTAAATCATCGACAGTGTCGTCGAGAACGCTTAGTTAGTGACTAGTGGCTTTATTGTTTATAAACTTACAGAGAAACAATTAGTCGATTTTAGATTAGCCACAAATGATCTCCGTATAGTCTCAAATACGTTACGAAGGTCGCCCGTTGAAATAGGAAATATTAAATAATTTCGTACCCACTAATACTGTTACACTACTACACACACAAGTAACAAAGAGCGGCGCGCGAGTGTTTATTGAGCTTTTGTCGAATGGAAGTTATTAGAAAGGGCTCGGGAATTCGCCCCAAAAGCAGTTCACATGAGTCTGTCTCCCACTCCGGCGCTATACAAAAAATCAAACATCCCGAGAGAAACACAGGGGTAACAACGCGTTGTAGTACATATTGATTTTTTGCTTCATTGTTCATGGAATAAAAATCATAAAGCTTCAATTCCGGCTTCAAACGGTTTAGGTAAAAGTTGGAGCGGGTTAGGCATAGTTCGATCTTAACGAATCCTATGTTTGATATTACAAGGTCGTTTGAAACTCGTATTATCACGGAAAAATTAAATTAATTGATTTTATTTAACTTTTTTCGATTCCTAATTAAACGTTACGGAAAATTTTATATTTTTATATGTGTTCGCTTAAACAGGTTTACCTTATCGTACACGTTTCAAATAGTGTGTTTAATTAGTAGAATTACGTTCAACCCAGCTACACAGTATGAATATTCTTTTAACAATTACTCTTACATGTTTTTTTGTATACGATGTTTTTCATGGCTTTCAGGTAACTTTTATCTAGTTGTGATTTATTCTGTATTATGGTAAAAGGATAGGCGGCGAGTTTCTTGCCCGTTCTTCTCGATCCTTCTACGCCCCTTATTTAAGAACTGGTAGTAAATGTAAATTTCGAGTCAGTTTTTAATCGATGTGAGAATTATGAGCGTACCTGGTTACCTACGTAACTAAAGATTTTTGACTATGTAGTGAAGTAAATCCAATCAAACCATTTATTCCACACACACAATAACACAAAATTACAATAGATGTGTGTGGATGGCCCATGCTTAATGGCGGCTCCAGACTCTCGCGAGGCGCCTCCTAGAGGCTCTCGCCACGAGTCTTGGCGAGCGGAGACTGCACGAGTGCTAGTCATCCACACTCTCCATTTTATTTAGTTAGTCTAGTGCAAGATGGACGGCAAATAAGTAAGTGAGCGGGAGAATGTGGTTGACTCCCTCGCCTCGCCCTCTCACGTGGAGAGTGTGGAGCGGCCATAACATTTAAAGTACATAGTTAATAATAGTACATATAAACCAAAATATAACACATTTTTTTACATTAAAACAATTAACAAAAAAATTAAAAAAAATATGTGAATTAATAAGTAATAAATAATGCTTTGTCAGCAGTTATGGGTGCCATGGCGGTTCGAACGCGATGAGCGGCGGCGGCGAGAACGCGCAGTTCGGCGCCACCGCCGCGATGGTCGCCGCGGCCAACACGGCCGCGATGCAGGACTCACAGCCATTCTCGCAGGTAATTTCTAAACGGACAATACACTAGTCTCTGAAAAGGACCGATGTTTATAGGCACAAGTTGAGTCTAGAAGGGATTCATCGTAAAGGGTTTTATAAACTTCTTCTCCGGTTCTCTTTAGTCTCCCCGTAACCACGGCTGCTGTAAAGCGTCGAAACGTCAAACCGTAGTTAAAATATTTTTTTAAATAAATATAACTTCTATATTTCGCGTTATAAACCATTCAAATGTTTATTTAAGCTCTATGTGAAGGTAGTTGGTTCGTGGTACTTTATTCGATCGATCGATCCTCGATTCGTGGATAACATAAAATTAATCTCAATATTTCATTCCAGATGCAAAACAACATGGCTATGGGCAATCCCCAGTACAGTGCGATGAATGGCTACGGTCAGCAGCGCAGCCATAACAACCCCGCCATGACAGGGATGGGCATGGGAGGAAACGGAGGCATGAATGGCATCAACGGTATGAATGGAATGAACGGCATGACCGGCATGACGGGCATGGGCCAGATGGGGAACGCCTCTATGAACGGCATGAACCCCATGGCGCAAATGGCCAACATGGGAATGCACGCCAATATGATGCCTTCGCAAATGGGGCCCGGACAGATGGGAGGCTCGACGAAAATGGGACCCGGATATCAAAGGCGACACACGCCCTATCCTACGGGAACTATGCTTATGGGCACAAGGAAAAGCCAATACATTGGCGGCCAGCCGGGCTTCGGTCCTGGGCAGTACCCGTCTGGGTATGGCGGACGACCTGGCTTCCAGGGGCAGTATCCCCCGCAGCAACCCCTCGGACCAAGTGGAAACTTCGGTCCCACAATGAGAGGGAACATGCGACAAACGACGCCGCCCTACTCAAACCAAGGGCAATATTTCAATGGCGGAGTTCCTAATCATTTTCCCCAACATCAAGCAAGTTCTGGGCAGTACGGTGGGCAATACAGTGGCCAGTTCGCGCAAGAAGTGGCGATGAGGACTAACAGCTATCAGCACAGTCCTGTACCCGGAAACCCTACCCCGCCCTTAACGCCAGCAAGTAGTATGCCTCCGTATATCAGTCCCAATGCTGATGTCAAACCTCATTTTAATGAGCTCAAACCACCGATGGGTATGCAAAGTAAGTTTACGAACCTACATTTGATTAATAATATTTACGACAAACAGATTTCTAATATATTATTTGTTTCCAGATGATGAGCTTCGACTAACATTCCCTGTAAGAGATGGTATTATATTACCACCATTTAGATTAGAACATAATTTAGCAGTTAGCAATCATGTGTTTCAACTGAAACCGACTGTACATTCAACATTAATATGGAGGTAACTTAAAATTCTATATACCATTTTCTTACTTATCTGAATAAATAATTGACTACAATTTAATGCTGATTTACTTTTGCAGATCGGATCTAGAACTACAATTGAAATGTTTCCATCATGAAGATCGGCAAATGAATACGAATTGGCCGGCCAGTGTCCAAGTATCGGTCAACGCGACGCCTTTAATTATAGACAGGGGGGAAAACAAAACATCACACAAACCATTGTACCTGAAAGAAGTCTGTCAGCCAGGCAGAAACACGATACAGATCACCGTCTCAGCATGTTGTTGTGTAAGTATTACCACTACAGCGTTTTGAATTTAATTTATTTGAAATAAAGACTAAGATTGTTTCTATGTTATCTCCAGTATAAACATAAAAAATGTCAAAAACATGATTTTTATTTTCCAATCTCCAACAAAAGAATATCCAAACATCAAAGAATATATGTAATTAAATAGATTTGTGGTCACAGAAACCATACATTCACAAAACATAAATAAGAATTTAAAAGATTTTAAATTAACCAGTTAATTTTTTAGAAAGTTACTCGGTTATTAGAAAGGGCAACAACAAAATATTGATTTCTCATTAAATTTTCAGTCGCACCTTTTCGTCCTCCAACTAGTACATCGACCCAGCGTAAGAAGTGTGCTCCAAGGGCTCTTAAGAAAGAGATTATTAACGGCTGACCACTGCATCGCTAAAATCAAGATGAATTTCAATCAGACGTCTAATAACAACGGCACCAACACGCCGAACGATAGAGATAGCATCGAACAAACAGCGTTGAAGGTTTCATTAAAATGTCCTATAACGTTCAAGAAGATAACACTACCTGCGCGAGGGCACGAATGCAAACATATACAGTGCTTCGATTTAGAGTCATATCTACAACTTAACTGTGAGAGGGGGTCGTGGAGATGTCCAGTTTGCAAGTGAGTACACACAATAAAACAGCTGTTCAAACTAGACAAATACTATGTATGGAAACGATAATTTTTATTGAAGCCTATTCTAAATATTTAATTGATGTTTCCAGTAAACCAGCTCAACTAGAAGGCTTAGAAGTCGATCAGTACATGTGGGGTATCCTCAATTCACTGAATACTTCAGATGTGGATGAAGTCACTATTGATAGTGGAGCAAATTGGAAGGGAGCGAAGAATTCCAATAATCCTAGTATAAAGGTAACATTTTAATATATATATATTCATTAAGACTTTTCTTATATACCTTCCTCTATGTTTAGATTATCATGTGACATACTTTACTTAACTTATAAAGCAATAATCTCGCACAATATACAACAAATTTCAGTTAAACTGTATCTATTGATTAATTATTTACTGTTTAAGATGCATATTTTTGCGAGGTTTACATTTTTCATATTTCTTAAATATAGATTATATCGCTTTTGTTTGAATGGCCATGTCAAAACCTTTCATTTACTTGGCAATTAGGAACGATATTTCAAATATTATTTGACTTGCAGCAAGAAGACGACAGCAACGACAGCAGTGGGAAGCGGGGCAAGGCTGTGTCCCCAGGATCCATGAACATGCCCACAATGAACAACTGGGATATGAACCAGGCGTTATCACCCTACCTACCTCCCGACATGAACACGATAGCCAGCGGTTCCATGATATCCTCATACAATCAAAGTAGTCAGAACAGAGCATCAGCTTCTAATAGTCAAAACTACGATTTCGGTATGAACAATGGGCCGGGAAGTAACGAGTATGCCGGTAATGGCCCATTGTCGCATTTGAATGACAGTGTCAATTCGTTGGACCCCCCTGAACGCTATGGAGAAGAGTCTCAACGAACAGGTTAGTATTCTGGCATTCAATATTTGTTTTTGCTTTCTTTATAAAAAGTGAGATTTTTGTAATATTCGTTTGTGTTTTTAATGATAGATGAGAACAGACAAGCATTCACTTGATGGTAGATGAAATACCCTTGCCTACAGCATCTAAAGACGTGCTGTCGGATATTCGGAAATCCACAGACTGAACCCGAAACGTTTCACGGCTTATTCATTTGTAGACGCTAGTTCGTGACCCGGACGGAATTTCGATACTCATTTCACCCATTTAACATCGAGATTTTCAGACGAAGTTCAACATGCTTCAGAAAATTATAAAATGATTAGAAATATATTGCACCCAGTGGGAGTCGAACCCGACCCTTTGGTTTTTACCCGTATATTGCTACCATTACACCAACGAGCTCATCAAAATGTTTAAAGGTCTGAGGTACCTATAGAATTTTGTTATTTATTATTCTTTTTTAATTCCAGATGCCTCACACGCCACACACACCCCACACGCCAGGGTCCGCACACACACCAGGAGGGGGAGGGGGTGCTCACACACCGGGCTCGAGTCATACGCCCGGCCCCCCTTCAGTTGGACACCATTCACTCAATGATGTCGACATACCAGCTGACCTGAATTTCGACCCCGCCGCAGTCATAGATGGTGAAGGGACTGACAACCTTAATGTAAGTATTTCCTAGTTAGAACCGAAAGTAATTTGCAAACCTGTTTTATCTTGTCAAGTAGCTGTATATATTTCATTATTTAACTTATATGAGGAAAAGAAGATATTTTTGTATTTAACTGTTAGCTTAAGATAATCCCATCTGGGCAAGTGCAACAAAACTTACAATAAAATAACATGTATTTATTATATTATACAGTCAGTCAGTAAATAGACACTTTAAAACTTTGTTATTTTTGTCAGAACAACCGCACAATATATATTGTGTATTGTAAATGAAAAAACTAATTTTTACTAACGTAACATATATTCCATTCTAGCTGTTGCCAGAAACAAGCGTAGATCCCATGGAACTACTATCATATTTGGACGCACCCGCTCTCGGGGAACTTCTAGCGACGCCACCATCTTCATCATCATCCGCGGGCTCGCACCCACCCCGGGCACCATCATCCGATGATCTTTTGGCGCTCTTCGAATGAGTGACAAAGATATGCCTAGGCCCCTAGTGCGACGGCGAGACCCTGGTCTCCCGTTGAACCGGGTGGCTTAGTCTGGCGCCTAACAGCTTCTCGAGTGGAGCTTCACATTGTGATACTAGTTTTTAGTTTTTTCTCCGCGAGCGTCGACGTCGAATGTCACTTCCCCAGTCTGACGTAGCTAAGCTAACAGAATCTCGCACGGGGCCGCACGAGCAACGGTGGCATTCGGCGTGGTCAAGCGAGGCGTATTGTTGATGCAACGATGCCGGAGAAATAGTTATACGTATAGGTAAAGGTTCAAAGCGAAGGCCGCGCCGGCCGAGACGCCGCGATAGTTCCTCGCGCCACCGCGACACCGTGGCGCCGCGCACGAAACGTTCTGAAATAGAATAAATTAAATTAATTCTAAACTCATCCTCTTGTTCAATGAGAAATCTAATTAGGGCTTTCTCGTCTAATGTGTATAGTCTACCGAATGTAAATAGCAAAGTATTTTATTTTCCTAGTTGTTTCAGTAGTCATGAGACCGTAAGATTGTAAATATAGTGTATCGTAGCGGTCCTCGCGAGTGGCGTGAATCTTATAGTTCCTACATGAAGCGACAGAACTATAACGTTCACTTGCCCCTTCAAGAATATTCCTTAAAGTTTTCACATTTCTGCATTTTTAAATATTAAGATACGCTAGGAGTCGTGAGTATGCAGTTACTCGCTTATTGGGTGATATATTCTAAATGAGTTGTTTGAAATCGGTTCATAGTAACGTTAGTTACTGAACTATATTGTAAATGAGTGCAAAAACACTGTTAAATTATTTTGCGTTATGTGAATTAAAGAATGATAGAAATATATTTTAATTTCTATTTTAAAAGAGTAATATTAAACTGTATTATTTGTAAATACGAATTTAGATAAGAATATTATATATTATGATCTAGTTATATTTAGAACATGGCAGATACTTATACGACGGCCAGTTTTAGAGTAGTATTACTAAATTAAATGAAATCCACACATGGTTTTACATGTACAGAACACCATACAATAGCTTCAGAGTGCAGATTATTAGAAAAAAAAACTTAAATGTTCCTATCGATTAACCCCACCAGACCGCCTAGATTAATTTTATTTATACTTTTATACCTTTATTTTCGAATAATCAATAAACATTCTCTTGTATTTTTTCTTAATCTTCTCACAAGTCAAATATTGTTTATCTGTGCTCTGAAGTTAACATCTTCAAACAATAGGTAGTCAAAATTACATAGTATCTTCAGTTGATTATTTCTTCGAATAGTGCTCATCTGTTTTATCTATTAAATCATCTATATATATGAAACACAATTTCGTAACATAAAAGCAATAAGTAAAGTATAGTAATAATCGTTTACATTTATATATTTCCACATTATTCCACAGAATATGACAATGTTATATAAATCGTTGCCTTATTTGAAGATTTGATGAGCATTAAGTTAACAAAAGTTATTTCACATATTTTCAAATGTTCGGTTGTATTTTGCAGGCTAAGCGCGCCATAAACAAGATGTGTTACAAATTACAATTTCCTGTCTTTCCTATGAAGTGATTGTTTTCCGAATTGAATTTATAGCTGATTTGGAACTGTTAGGTAATTCAAGATAAAATTACAGTTTTTTACAGTTCATGCAGACTTTTCTATTTCTAAGATTCATAAATTAAATGTAATTCTGTCGATTTTCTGATATTTGTAAAAATTGGTGATTTGCGCATCTTAAATAACTGCTATGAATATGGGCGCCTCTTTAGGGTTAGTCAACTATTATGAAAACAATAAATTAGTGTTACTTAAAGCCGTGATCAATTCTGAAAAAAGTCTCCAAAATGAATTTCCAAATCCATTCAAAGTGATGAGTGCGGAGTAGTTGATCACTGCTTTAAAGATAAATTTATAATACTTTTAAGGGACCTTCAATTCCAGTTAGCTAGTTCTATTTATTGTAGTTAATATTGCCATTGGATGGATCACGAAGTTGACGCCTTGTAAGACCAAATAGTACTTTTTTACACTTGCCTATTTTTAGGTAAAATGAATGTTTATATAAAATGAAAATATCATAAAAATGTAGAGCATATCACACTAAACAGAGGACAAGGTCGATATTGAATGATCCATTCAAATGAGCGAATTATCACAATATATTTTGTTGAATAATATAATGAACCGCTGTGGAGTTAGTAGATTTGAGAAGTGTAAAGCACAGCATTTGGAAATAAGTGAAAAAGATATTCTAAATAATATTATGCAACCCATGACCTATACTTGAAAGCCAAATTGTATTGTAGTTAAAATTCCCGAACTTGTGAATACTAGACATCTGGTACCTACCCTACTGAAATCATTTTTAAATATGTAAAATAAAAAACATAACATTTTTATGTTATTAAAAATAAAATGATTCTTAAAAATTTTCATTTGTTTCAATGATTTCTAAATGGATAGAGAGGAGATACATATTGTTAAAATATATCATCTATTTGCAAACACAAGGAACATTGACAGAGCTTCAGATAAACATCCCCTTAGTTTTAAAATCTAGAAGTTGCAGAAGGCTAGGATGGCAAATCCTTTGAAAAAAGCGAAGATATATTGTTCATTTATATTATCTTGGGCAATTAATTTGTATCAATTTCAGGGAAGAGGGAGCGTTCTTTGAAACCAAAATATTTAAGTCATAAGTAATAAAGTAGTCTAAACGTAAGCAAAAATGGATGACTGCCTAGTAGTTATTTTTGGTATGTTATTAAATTAGTTACATGGTATTTAAAGTTTTTGTTACATATTTGTTATAAACAAAATTGTAACTTTAATCGTACTTATGATAATCGTAATAGAATGATTGTTCGCTAAATTATTGTACGCTTGCTTCCAAATTTTGTAGCGTTCACGCTGAAGCATTTTTAGAATATTAGTTTATTTCAACGAGAGCAGAAGATTTCTAAAGGTCGTGCTTTCGCTAACTGCGTGTTAAGATGTCTACATTCCTTGTGGATATATTTTACAACGAATAGGTCAGAAAGAAAACAATTTGCAACTCATGGATGGATAATAATCATGCTTGTTGCCTTATTGCACCGCTAAACAAGCAAGTACAGTGCCCACTGTCCAATGGTAACCTGTAAAGTGTTTAGTGACTTAGTGTTAGCAGTGTTATAAATATTTAAATATTAAATTATAAAACGACGCTGCTTTACTTATGCTTGACAATTGACATAGTTGTATAATGTCAGAAGTCAGAAACCCAAGTTTCCCAAGTGTGACGTTTCATAGATAAATGACATTGGCAGAATATATTTCGAATGGGAACGCCATCAAACTAAAAAACCGCGTGACGTATGTGGACTTAAGTAAACGTTTTATTTGACTGGTCATTTTCATTATATTTGATTGTTAAAATAATCTTTTATTATAATTCATACATATGATCCGAGGATTAAATTGCTACAAAGATAAAAAAGAAAGCACATTTTTAAATGTTGTAATATGTGATTATTGTTTATTTACCATTTTGCACATGCGTCAAAAAAATTACTTCACAATTAACATATAATACTATGATTATTCCTACAAATAGTACGTTAAATTTAATAAAAACATTATAATGCGAGTTTACAAAAATCTTCCTAAAGACAATTTAAAAAATAGTTATAATTTTATTTTTAACATCCATTTAACCAGTTGTGCCACATTGGCAGTTGACAGATCTTAACTATAAAAAAAAGGCCAAAATCGCCAATAATAAGGTATGTAATATTAAATGAAAACACAATTATATATTAAGAATTTCACGCTGGTGACCGTTCTTCTTGACAGAAAATACTTATAATAGGTACGGTATATTGTATTATTCTAAATTGGCATTTTTGTTCAACAACCGCAATTTACGTGAAATCGTGATTTTCTCACAAGGTAACACTGACAGGTAGAGAATGGAACATGGCAGTACATGGTAGCCGGCAGGTAATACTCGAACCAGTTTTACCGGTAACGGTTTACGACAGAGAACGATCGAACGAACGTGCATTTTCCATAATAAAATGTACATAGTTTATAGGACCATCGAACTTTATATTAATTAAATCATACTTGCATCTTTTGTGCTTTAAAGTGAAGTTATTGCTATTCATATATATATTTAAAACTTAAATTTGATATTCGTGACTGATTTGCCTTTGTGGTGGTAATTAACAAGAATATTAAATCTGATATAAGCAAGCTGGGACGAGAGTGTGCATTTCAGAGCAGCTGAATAAAAAGGTAAAAATAATTTCTTGACGAATCTAAACTTTAAGACTTATTTATTTATTTATTTATTAACTTTATTAATTACAAACACCACAGAAATGGTTTACAACAATAAATTCTTACGTTATCTAACTAATATTTTCCTTATCACCTAATAGAGAAAATGCACAAAACGCTTAATTTTTAATTTAACTGCACAGAGAGTATTAAAACGGCTTAACATTTAACTTAAGAAGGAAATTAATTAAGATTGTAGTTATTATATGAGAAGCAGTTATGTATCTATCAGGTCAATATTGTTAAAACTATTTGGATTTTAGAGTGTGTTCAATTTTAAGAGACAAGAAAATCGTATTCATTGATTAGGTAGACATGAATAAATTAATAAAATAAGTTTCGGAAGTTCTGACTTATAAAGTATTTTATACCTAATTTGTGTGAAATGAAGTATGCAACCCTATATACCCGAAGGGGGGGCACAGCGCAGACACACTTATATGCCTATGGCGTGTGCAATTAATTTATGGGCGAGTACTTGGATTCGGCTTTTTTTACGCCACCGGACAGACGCTATTTATTAATTTTCTCTGGGAGTCGAACCTAGGACCCCTCGCACTGCCAAGCTATACAATGCGTTTTGACAGTAATTCCCTTCCGGATTAAAGTTACGACAATACCTAATAAAGAGGCTTTTCCTATGTAAGCAAGACTTACCGCTCATTGACCGTTACAAAGGATAACGATGTCTCCACTTACCTTAAACATCTGATAATTTATGTGAATACCGTTCGCCATTATTGTGAATCACTTGCGATGACGCACTTATGTTATTGGAAAAAACATTTTGTGTTTCCATCTTTTATATATTTGAAATTTCTCTTAGACTTAGTTAACAATGACTATTTTTTAATGAATACTATCTCTGTCTGTAGTTTACGCTAGTAGTACACATTTAAATAGCACATTAACGGTTTAAAACGCGATATATTTTAGTTACGACGTTTCGGATGCTTTTTTTGTTTGCGGAGACTCGCCCGGCATAGTTTAAAATAATTTTCAAACAAGTTTAACTAAAATATACCGCGTTTTAAACCGTTAAAGTGTTTTATATACATTAATACTATCTCTACTTACTATATTTTAATCTATCGATATATTAAAACCTTTTTCGACTAATCACTAATGCTCTCATTTCTCGAGTCTCTTGTAGATTTAGTGTTACCATACCAAATATTAAAGAATTTTTAGGAGATACTTAATCTCCTAAAGTTAAGAGATTTTTTTTCTTTATATGAAATTTACTTTCTTCCTCTACCATTTAATCGTACAAATCGTATTGTTCTAGTATACATACAAAACAGTCTTAATAAAAGTAAATATAATTATACCTATTGAATATCTATAGTCATATTATTAAGCTGAAGAGTTTGTTTGTTCGAACTCGTCATATCAGGAACTAATGGTTCGAATTGATTTTTTTGTGGTAGTTAGACTATTATTCATCTTTGAGGATTTCCTTTGCGTGCGATGCGAAAACGCTTTAATATACCCAAAAAATCTATATTAATTATTTTTCTTCTTAGAAATAATCTAAAAAATGTCTGCAAACGTAACTATTTGTCTAACTTATAGGAACCCTTTTAATGGTTTTCAAATTTTGGTTAAAATACTTTACATGATAAAAGAACCTTTGCCAGGTCAGCTAGTAATTGATATAACTCTCTAGTCTATGAAATGAGATTTAATATAAAAACATAGAGAGCGATAGAGGTATCGCATTATGTATGCAGTGCAGCGTATGCGCGGTCAGGACATTGCTCTTTCCCGCCCTCGCCATATAGCATGACTTAGTAAGACAACGAAGAAATAATCCTTTACTCACTCTCTCTATACACAATAACATAAACTAATCCTCGTACCTACAGGAATTTTAAACCTATACTATATTAATGCTGACGTAATTCGAAATATTAATAACAAGCTGCGCCCGCGTAGACTAGTTATTTTGGACATCAAAATTTTATTTTGCAAACCCCAAACCCCTCTTTATAAATCACTAGCTGACTTCGTCCGCTAGAATAGCTATTTTCAGCATCAAAATTAGTTGTAGTTTAATTAATTAGATTCGAATTTTTCAATTCGTACCAGTAGTTCTCGAGGTTCGAGCGTACAAACAAACATTCTCTTCACATTTATTATATTTGTGTAGATTAGGAAAATAGCAAAAAGATTTATATACTTCAAAACATTATTTATCATTATTTTAAATAAATTGAAAATCTAATTTAGATTAAAAAAACGATGATAAGTGCGCGACTCGTCGAATGCACGACCACACTGTTTCTTGCTGTACAAAATATGTAGTTCAGTTCATCTTATAGATTTTATATATTTAGAGTGTCTTTTTAGCAAAATAAAGTTTAATCCGCTGATCAACTCAAAACAAGGCTAAGAATGCGCTCGAAGTAGTCTTAGAACAAAAAATCTTGATCAATATCAGTTTTTCTGTGAAGCTACGATGACCCGACTGGGACAGGCACACATACATTGAACCATACAGGTTTCTCTCTATTTTGTATATACAATATGAGCTATGTTTGTTTTCTTGTTCATTATTGCGGTAAAACGGAACTGAGACGGAAAAAAAATTATAGATAGATTTTCGATAGACAGACGTCGGGCATTGTGCGTTGTGCCTAAGTACGCAAGCGATGATTGTTGTAATACTAAAAATATAGGGCTTTCGCACGCCATATACGTAAATATAATGTGGTAAAAATAAGGTGGTAAATTTTGAAATTCTCAAAAGCATACCTGTATTTAAGATAAATTAAGAAAAGAGCCAGTTAGTGTTTGTTTCTGTACTTGTTTTAACCCGTTAATAATGGTCATATTCAATGAAGAGAAATCCCAAGTTATATTAGAAAGAGTACCTATTCTGTTTCGTTATACAGGTATTGTGGCTAGCAAATGTGAAAGTTGGATTTACATGTAAATACAATTCCATTATTCGTTTGAATTCAATCTTTTGTATAACGAAAATTGATCTTTAAACTAACCTAAATGTATAGTGCTTCTTATTTTTTCAAAGCAGACTTAGCTTTTGGGAGACAATAACCGGTCTTCCTTCTAAGCCAGAATACTTTTATTTATTATGGTATGTATATCAACAGATTAAAACTTACGAAGGACCCAATTACTGATGTACACTGTATTCAATACTATATAGGAAACCCTCTAAGATGACCAAGACGAAAATATTTTTTTATGCGAACCAGTAGTTCCTGAGATTATCACGTTAAACATACGAACAAATAAACTCTTCAGCTTTATATATTAGTAAAGATAACGCGGAAACTTATTTATATTCACAACTAGATCGTTTAGAGAGAAGGAAGTTAACCACACACCACGCTCGCATTGTAGATCACAATTATTAACTCAAAGCCTGAAAGTAGAATATAACAAATATTCTACGTCTGTATATTGTGTATATTTGTTCTGAATTCACGATGAGACTGACTACCTCACGTACTGTGTGCGGTTATAATATTATTTCGTATCTGATTGACCCGCATAGTAAATATTAATGTTAATAAACAGCGGCTTGTAAGTCTGTTTGTATCCGCTGCTGATATCTGCTGCCATTTTTA